AATAGGGTAAAATCATGAAGTGATGATGTTTTGTATCCAAAAGGTCAGAGGTCAGCTTCACTGTGACATCATACTGTTCTGGCCATCACGTAACATCATATTTCAGTAACAGAGGGGGAGACATTTGGTCAGATACTGAATTAGTGACACTAATCTTTAGTGCTTGAATCTGTGCTAAATGTGCAGATCTGCTGTGCTGCCAGGTTTAAATATGTGTGTGAAGCATCCAGTTCGGCAAAAAATACACTTCCTACCTTTTATTAAATGCCTTCAAAGTCTGCACTACATATATTACATAAGCCTGGACAGACATGGCTGCAGTCTGCAACTCGACTGGTAGGCAGAGGCACACAACCGTGAGGGAGTGTTTCTTTTTTTTTTCATATTTCATTCTTTGTGTAGGTTAATGCAATGAATTTCATATATATATATTTTTTGTAATTTTTATTAAATCACACTAAAGTTTCTGATTGCAACATTTTCCTTTTTTCTTTTTCATAACCTCTCTATCTCTTGCTCTCTCTTTCTCTCCCTGAGGGGAGTTTGTTTACCAAGTGTTGTTTACAGTTTAGGCGAAGCCTCTGCATGTGGGGGCGTCAGCCAGATGTTGAAATAACCTCAATCTCTCAGCACTTAGTTTTGTTTTAACTCTATTGCCTGAGGCAGATAGTTAGTTACGATACATTCAGTTCGGTACATTGTCCGTCGCCATTGTGTACAGTAAGGAGCTACAGTCCGGCACAAGTTTGATCTGAGCTCTTTCGCCTTTTTGGAAAATGTTGAATACACTGAGGTGATGGCACGTTGTTGAAGTACTAAAGGGAAAATGAGGCATTTTAGTGACACTGCTGTTGCTCACCCATCTGTTATAGTAGTAAATGTAGCCAGTCTGATCTGTCTAATTAGAAGCTTTAGTGGTAAGAGTGGTGGATTCTCAAAGTAAGAAGCCAGAGAAGTTAAGCGTACATGATTATTGGCTGCTGATGTGTCTGCCTGTAATGTTTAGCTGCTGCCGGCATTAGCAAAGGTAATAGAAAGTGAGTCTACCTCTTTCATTCTGTTTGCTGATTTATTTATTTGCAGTATGTGGTTGAAGTGGAAACATTGAAGTGAAGTGAGTGTGATTGATGGTATTTGGTTCATTTTCTGTGCTGGTGTGACTGTCAGTCGTCAGCCTCTGACAGCGCCTCTGCCCTCTAGACTCTGTTGGGTTTTAAGGCTGTCAGCACTGGTGCTTGACTGCTCGGGGACTTTGTTTAAGGATATAACTGCTGAGAGCTGTAAATATTGTATTTAAGAGAACTGCCGGCTCAAAGTTAAGAAGAACCTTATTTTAGCTCTGAGATGGCAGAAAATGGTATTAGTTCAGAAATCCACTTAGCTTACTTATTCACTCTATGATCTGCCACTGATTGTTTATCTGTTCTCCATCTCAGTTCTTTCTCAAAGCCCCGTGTCCTTGCGTGTTTCTTTATTTTGATGTTTACTTGTCCCAGTGGCATTTGTTGCTGTGCTTTTTGTTTCTTTGTTAAATTTAAAAGCAGGCAATATTCTCCATTTATGTTATTGTCAACAAATCCTATAAAAATACTGAAACTGGTAATGCGTTAGTTCGTCTCTCATTATTTCCTGACTTCCTCAGCTTGTGTGTGGCGCTCAGGTTCAGTAGATCCTTCTGAAGATGTAAAACAGGCAATCAGAAAAATAAACTACAGTGTCTAGATTTATGGTATGGTACAAAAAGAAACAAACAATGGCAGCACAGTGGTGCAGTGGTTGGCTCTGTTGGCTCACAGCCTTTCTGTGTAGAATTTTCCCCATGTCAATGTGGGTTTTCTACGGGTACTCCGGCTTCCTCCCACAATCCAAGGACATACAGGACAGGTTAATAGGCGACTTTAAATTGCCCATAGGTGTGAATGTGAGCATAAATGGTTGTCTGTCTATATGTGTCAGCCCTGTGATAGTCTATCAAGGACAGGGGTTGGCAACCTTCACTATTAAAAGAGCCATTTTGACCAAAAATAACATGTTAAGCCTTATAATGAAGGTAACACAGCTTGTTAAATTTTAATTAGCCTGTCAACATTACTCTAAATGAGCCTTCATTAATATGTTTTGAAGCTCACTGCAGTGAGCTCTATATGATTAAGTGGATCAGCGGTAAAAGCAAACAAATCTCTTCACACACAATTAAATTCTGTTTTCTTCCAAAACTTTCCTTTTTTGGATATGAAATCCACAGCTCGCCAAGCTAGGGAGACTACTGTAGCCACCGCTATTGGGATTGGGCAAAATGAAGAGGAAAAGGCGCTGGGCTGAGGACAATTGATGCATTGATAAGATACACATTTCTACAACTGGAGAATGTCAGAATCAGTGTCACATTAATTAATCATAAATTAATAACTTTCAACCATAAAATATGATCAGGTTTTGTCCACTTTTGTATCAGGATCGGCTGCAGGCTGATGTGGCAGAGGTGGCTGCCATCTTTTTTTTATACATTTTAGTGTATTGTGGTCTTACTACCACTAGATGGCACAAAAAAAGTGTCCACCAACGAGGACAACAGGTCTAAGTCAAGTAGAATCAAGTATAGGGTCAAGTACACCCAAAATGTGATGTCCATTGTGTGTCCATTTGAGGACACAGGGTTTTAGGAGATTATGACCATTGACATTCACACTTTTAAACACATGGTTAATTTTATCAAACAGTTGCAGCTGTCCCCAAACTATGTGGTTTATTTTTTTCAAAAAAATCATGATTTGGCTTAAAAACAAGTATACATACAGTACAGGCCAAAAGTTTGGACACACCTTCTCATTCAATGCGTTTTCTTTATTTTCATGACTATTTACATTGTAGATTTTCGCTGAAGGCATCAAAACTATGAATGAACACATGTGGAGTTATGTACTTAACAAAAAAAGGTGAAATAACTGAAAACATGTTTTATATTCTAGTTTCTTCAAAATAGCCACCCTTTGCTCTGATTACTGCTTTGCACACTCTTGGCATTCTCTCCATGAGCTTCAAGAGGTAGTCACCTGAAATGGTTTTCCAACAGTCTTGAAGGAGTTCCCAGAGGTGTTTAGCACTTGTTGGCCCCTTTGCCTTCACTCTGCGGTCCAGCTCACCCCAAACCATCTCGATTGGGTTCAGGTCCGGTGACTGTGGAGGCCAGGTCATCTGCCGCAGCACTCCATCACTCTCCTTCTTGGTCAAATAGCCCTTACACAGCCTGGAGGTGTGTTTGGGGTCATTGTCCTGTTGAAAAATAAATGATCGTCCAACTAAACGCAAACCGGATGGGATGGCATGTCGCTGCAGGATGCTGTGGTAGCCATGCTGGTTCAGTGTGACTTCAATTTTGAATAAATCCCCAACAGTGTCACCAGCAAAACACCCCCACACCATCACACCTCCTCCTCCATGCTTCACAGTGGGAACCAGGCATGTGGAATCCATCCGTTCACCTTTTCTGCGTCTCACAAAGACACGGCGGTTGGAACCAAAGATCTCAAATTTGGACTCATCAGACCAAAGCACAGATTTCCACTGGTCTAATGTCCATTCCTTGTGTTTCTTGGCCCAAACAAATCTCTTCTGCTTGTTGCCTCTCCTTAGCAGTGGTTTCCTAGCAGCTATTTGACCATGAAGGCCTGATTGGCGCAGTCTCCTCTTAACAGTTGTTCTAGAGATGGGTCTGCTGCTAGAACTCTGTGTGGCATTCATCTGGTCTCTGATCTGAGCTGCTGTTAACTTGCGATTTCTGAGGCTGGTGACTCGGATGAACTTATCCTCAGAAGCAGAGGTGACTCTTGGTCTTCCTTTCCTGGGTCGGTCCTCATGTGTGCCAGTTTCGTTGTAGCGCTTGATGGTTTTTGCGACTCCACTTGGGGACACATTTAAAGTTTTTGCAATTTTCCGGACTGACTGACCTTCATTTCTTAAAGTAATGATGGCCACTCGTTTTTCTTTAGTTAGCTGATTGGTTCTTGCCATAATATGAATTTTAACAGTTGTCCAATAGGGCTGTCGGCTGTGTATTAACCTGACTTCTGCACAACACAACTGATGGTCCCAACCCCATTGATAAAGCAAGAAATTCCACTAATTAACCCTGATAAGGCACACCTGTGAAGTGGAAACCATTTCAGGTGACTACCTCTTGAAGCTCATGGAGAGAATGCCAAGAGTGTGCAAAGCAGTAATCAGAGCAAAGGGTGGCTATTTTGAAGAAACTAGAATATAAAACATGTTTTCAGTTATTTCACCTTTTTTTGTTAAGTATATAACTCCACATGTGTTCATTCATAGTTTTGATGCCTTCAGTGAGAATCTACAATGTAAATAGTCATGAAAATAAAGAAAACGCATTGAATGAGAAGGTGTGTCCAAACTTTTGGCCTGTACTGTATTTGTCATTAAGGTAGGTTGATAAAGTGACATATTGCATGTGAAAGAAGTCACCCTCATCACAAAGTACTACGTCACATTTTGTTTAAAATAACTCCAAGTTGACTTTTGGTTTCACATGAGACACAAACACCCGTCTACTGGGTGAAAGTCCTGTGTTTGTTTGACCCATCCAGTTCCTCTTCATCCCTCCTTAATTTGGCTTTCTCGCTCTTTGTTCTACTTCGCAGGACTTCCTCCTTTTCTCCCGTCATAATTACCACAGCCACTAGAGCTAGCTGCCTGATAGTATGGGTTGTAATCCCTGCTTGAAAAAATTACCTACAGTATGTGGTTGTATTTTGGAGGAAAAGTTTCCAATTTTTCTAGCTGTGCTTTATTTTACACACTTTCTCTGAGCAATACGTTAAGATAGAGATGCATTTTTAACACGTTTTTAAAGTTTGTTTCTTCACCCTTGTTTTTCTGTAGCCACATCTGCTGTCACTTTTCTTCATCGAAACAAATAACATCCTGCCAAAGAAACCAGTCCGTGGCATATCTCTGTGTCTTATTAGTTCTGCTTGTCTCTCCAGGTGGATGCCATAGTGACACTGGGAGGTCTGGCTGGCAGATTTGACCAGACAATGGCATCAGTTGAGACCCTCTTCCACGCTTTGACCATGACACGACTCCCCCTGTTGATCTTACAGGAGACCAGCCTGGCATACCTGCTCCGTCCCGTGAGTGTGTTATTAACACATATTGGCCATGGCCACAGGTGTAGTGAAATACAGCTAAAGACTGTCATTATAGCATTTACAAGCAGGTTGCTGCATCCATCCTTGAATTTTTAGTGTGCCAGTTATTTACTTTTCATCAAGGTGAAGGTGGACTTATTATGGCTGTATCTGAGGTTGCATATAAAACCTACACACTCAGGCAGACAACACCACACTGGACTAACACTCTGTTACCTCTAATAACCCTTCTCCCAATCCTTGTCTTCATTTTCTGTTCTCTCTTAAAGATGTTCTTTCCCTTGCACTGCTTCCACCTTGATTGGAGTGTTGAACACTTTGTTTCTTTGTTAAGTAATCACTTCAAGACACCCCCCACACCACACACACATACACACTCCTCTGCTCTTATGGTGCCCCAATTTGCTGTCGTGCATGAGAGAGAGAGTTCCTTTTGATGCTACCAAATTGTTTTTCCCTCAATGCCAGCCACTTTCTCATGCTCCTCAGTTGATTGAGTTTACAAGTGGGCTGAGCAGACATCATTTGGGACACACACTGCTCTTTTCTCTTCCTTTTTTTTTTCTCCTCTCCCCTGTGTTGTTTATTTGCAGGATCTTCAGGACAAACAACTAACTGTCACACTTCCTGATGACACCTTGTAATTCGTTAAGTAAACCTTTCTCTCATGCACTCCCTCCCTGCTTCTTGTCATTATTCCAAAGGCGCATTGTCATTTGCTGCTTCATACCTCGACACCTCCAATTAATCTTACTTCAGTGAGGGTAAATTAAGCTCGTTTGTCAACGCAGCTCCAATTCGCCAGCGACTGATGAACGCAGACGCCTGTACATGAAGGTGAACGCAACCTTCGAAAGACCCGGTGCTATTTGTTCAAGTTACATCTGTAATTGAAGTGTTTACAACTTTTGCCAAATATCCTCACCACCCGTATTCCATGCAATCACGGCCTTGTTACGTGCTCAGCTTCGGAATTTGGTGGCACAATCAATACATACACGGTTGTTCATGTTCTGTACACAATCTAACACAAACACACGCACACAGCAAATTAAGACCAGAGGTAAATTGCCAGTTATGTCCATTTTTCAAATTTGTGGGGACTTTGTCACCTGAAACATAGCTTGTACCCTTATAGCTACTTAAATATGCAATATCCCATTAAACATGCACATTTTAGAGAATTAGGGAGACATACTTCTTCATTCCTGATTAAATCAGTTCATGTCTAAGTCACACACATGCTCTGATTTAATCAGGGTTGTGTATGTTTGTTTTAGCTTTTGTTTGTCAGATGCAGTGCCACAGTGTTTTTATGCTTTCTGTGGGAAATATGCAGAAATTTTGTGTTTCTATAGCTGGCTCTGGGCATTGCATAATTCTCATGTCTTTTATTAAATTATGGGCAGGGACACTGCAAGGGCTGCAGGCTTGTTTATTCTGGGTCCCTACACGACACGAGGATGTTTTAATCAGTCTAGGTCTCAAGGTGATGCTAAATTTACCTAATTTCAATGTAAAAAAATAATAATAATTTGTTCTGCCTTCATCTGTTTGTTGGTTTTTCTCTTGTCATCTGCTCTATTGAGTCTCTGTCACAAGGGCCACGCAGAGCCACATTTACTCAAGTTAGTATCCCGGCTCCTGATGATACTTGAGAAAACCTGCTCTCTGTGTTGTGGGACAGGCAATGCACAGCGCTGTGTCAGCCTGATCCGTGCCATAAATCATTCTGTAAGTGCACTCACTTCAGGTCAAATGTACGAGCTTGTTTACCTGATGCCCTTTTGAGGAGTGAAACTTGTCAGGGCAAGGGCTGATTTAAATGATAAAGTGTGATACCTTTGGTATGTTAAGTCACCCCAAGTTAGCAACAATGTGGCATTCAAATGTAATATAAATACAAACATGAGCTAAAAAAACTGACCCAAGTCTGTTCTGTACTGAAACAGTACAGAAACCTAGCGTTGCATCAGCCAGCTCAGTCAAGGGTCTGACAACATCAATGCTGTGCTCCATACACTCTAATGCAATTACTTAAGATATTCTTCATTTTCAAGCTGTGTTTTTCAAGCTAAATATTGTGCCTGGGGCATGTCGTGTATTAATGATACTCATTACCTGGAGAGGTTTCAGGTTCAGATTTCCTTTATTTGTCATTTTCACTGTGTACTTCTATACATAAAGAAAAATTAGATTCTGTTTCTTCTAAAAGACGCAAATAAGGTTGGAGGGAAATATAAGTTTCTTCTCTGTTCCAGAATCAAATCCTGAAAAGTGTAGTTAACCACTGAATGTATACACATGCTACTTTTGCTACATAATGATTATTACAGTGAAACAAAGTCCGACCCTGCTGTACAGGAACCAGTGAAGGGAAGCAGGGAAACTTTGCTGATATTCAACCGGCTGTGTGTCATCACAGTGTGTGCAGATGAACGTGGTTTGGCCTCCCCTGGAGCTCCCTGCCCATCCGGCGGTGGAAGTCCATGTGCTGGCAGCGACAAGGGGCTAGCCAAACACTGTTCATCTGCACACATTGTGATGCCACACAGCTGGTTCAATACCAGCAAAGTTTCCCTTTATATTCATTGTCTTCTGTGGCGATCAGCAGTGATGTGGTGGTTCACGTTTACACTGTGATCTGTAGCCTATAGTTCAGCTTTAGCTTCTATCTTCATTATATCATAGTTTTTGCTGTTGAGTGAGTTTGACGTCCTGTATGTATCCTTTAAACACATATTGTAAACCCTTTGTCTGCTTCCTGCTGAAATCGCTTTTTGGGTTTCCAAAAATGTCATAATACCTCAGTTTGTTACAGTGTGGGCTCCATGCTCACTTCGACCATGATGGACCTCCACAAAGGGATGTGATGTAACGCAGGGTCATTTGATAATAATTACTTTACATAACAACTTTAATGCCACATTACTTATTGATGCTACACTTTGGAAAAAACATTTATGAATATGCCTTACTGTGCTGTTAAATACCTTTTACATCTCCCACTAAAGTGGATACGATGATGAATTTGGGAAACGTTACACTTGCTTTAACATCAGTGTGTCACCATTGTCATTGTGAGCATGTTAGCATGCTGATGCTAGCATTTGCCTCAAAGCACCTGTGCTTTAGTACAGCCTCACAGAGCTGCTATTATGGCTTTAGACTTAGTGTTGTCGTATGTTTCTTATTCCTAATTTTCTGTTATCACTGTGGACATAAGCCTGTTTGCATATCACACAACTGCAAGCTTGTCCACTCTGATTGGTAGCATTGATAACATGTGCAAATAGAGTTTCATCTTCATCCCGCTTCTCCTCCGTGTCCCAGCCAAAACGTTGCTATCACAGTTAGCAGCTAGCTAACCAGAAAAAGGTGCATTGCTCTCGAGTCGATCACACGTGTGTGTGTTCGTCTGCAGGTGCGCATGCATTTGTTTTCCCTTCTCTCTGTTCCTCACACACTCTCACTCTGACACACTTACACAAAGAGACTGTGTTTATGTATAGAAAACAACCTCGGGGATGTTTCCTGAACACCAAACGCTCCAATGTTTAGAATTTTCCCATTATTCCTTGCCCCTGGCTCCGCAGCTCCAGGAAGCCCAGCAAAGGAAAACTCTGCTTTAAACATGTCACACTTTGAAGATTTCAAACTCTTAATTGAGTGTGCCTTTCTTTGTTGTCTTTGTCTGTGTCTGTATGATCCTTTCAGATGACTGATCTGGCTGTCAGTGCTTTTTGTCTTTGAACTTATGCTTGGGTGTCTGGCAGTTTGAGCATACATGGCACTTGTAGCCTGCAGATATTCAAAGTGTTTATAATGATTATTGAATTACACAGTTTCTGCAGATGCAATGTTCCCTCGCCAAATACCTGTGTATAAGCTGTAATGAGATTGAGTTGTTTTATTGTATCTTTTTTTGTGTGCTGTGAATGGGAGAAACTTTGTTTTGACCTTTTTACACTCCAGCATCACATTTTATTATAACCAGTGCATTCAGAGCACCGTCATTATTCAGCCTGAAGAGTCTGACACTACCTTGCACCTACACTGTGTGATGCTTTTTTTTTCTCTCTATGCTCTAGTTTCTCAAAGGGATACAGTGACTTTTTGAAATGTTGTTCATATTTATTTTTTTTGTAAAGCACTGCATAAAAAGGTTTTATCGTACCTCAAAAAAAATTTATTCATCCGTCCCTCACACACTATTAGAAAATACTCCTTAACAAAGTCAACCATCCTCCCTCGCCAGCATATCTTTATTCTAAGCTAATAGAATGTGCTATAGTATACACTGCACATTTACGTCAAGTGAAGTATTCATAATTGTACAACTGCTAACTGCTCTTCAAGTGAAAAGCTGGTTGTTACACTTTTGAGGTGTCAGTACAAAAATCTTTTGACTCCCCGTGACACACAGTAAAATGGACTATAATTCAAAATGGCAAGGTATTCTTTTTAAGTGTGAGCAGGGACTGAAAATGGGTTGCAGCATTGACAAGAGCAATCATTTATTTTAATGAGCCTTGGTCCCTGGGCGGAGAGGCTCAGCTTCTCATTTGGGGCTGGGAAAGTTGAAGAAGTCTTGCTCTACATTTGTTTTCTCTTTTAATTTTTTTTTCTATCTTATTGTTTCCACCTGTCATCGACTCTGGCAAACACACACACACATACATGCGAACACTCACATTCATGCTGTGTTTCTGCAGGGCAGCCACAGACTGGAGGTGAACACAGGCCTGGAGGGTGATTGGTGCAGTCTCATTCCAGTAGGTGGACCCTGCCAAACAATCACGACTGGACTGAAATGGAACCTGAGTGAGTCCCTTTATTTTTCCCTTTCCATTTTTAGCATTTGAATGAAGCTTAAGCCAATAATTAATCTACAATTTTCCTGTGTTTGTAGGCTCAGTAAAACAAAAAATGATATTTTTTCACACAGAAAAACAAAACATTTACAAACTATAAGGCACTTGGAGAGCGCAGACCTGCACCAAGACCAGTCTGTAGCCACAACCAATATATAGGCCTGTGTGTGGATGTATTTCCCCCCAAAAAAGCTTCATAATTAACCAAAATTATTACTGTTACTGTGGATTGTGATATGGAGTCATCATATTTCTACGATTGGCTATGTTTTGTCACTGTTGAACTTTACTACCATCTGCTGGATTGAAAGATGTAGTGCATCTCGCAGTGTTAACGACACTGAAAAATCATTTGTGTTTAAGCCCCGCTATTTGGATCCACTTAAAAATTTAAAGGATTCTTCCTTGGCCCATGCTAGACCCTTCCAGCACGTTTCATGAAATTCGGGCCAGTAGTTTTCCCATAATCCTGCTGACAAACAAACTAAACCGAAATCTAAATCTCCTTGGTGGAGGTAATAAAGTGTGAACGTTCATTTTTTTAATGTGAAAACAAGGTAAAGAATCAACCTTTTCTGTAAAACATATTAACTGTGTCCAGAAAAATGTGCATGGTGAGTAGAAAGAAAGCCAACAATGTGCCACGTGCAAGAACATTTCTGTTTTCGTATCCTAAAACTCTTACTTAAAGCAAGTATGTTTGCTTGTACCAATATTCCAAGTCAATTTTACCCTCTTAACTGGACAAACTTGTTGTAAATTGCCAGCTAGCTGCCAGTACTGCAAACATAAATTAGCATTCACAGTGGAAACAACTTCCACTGAATTTTCAACATGCATAATAAGATCCAGTAAAGTACAGATGCTTAATTTGCCTCTGTCAAATGAAGCTGCAGTTTAAAGAAGGTTTCATATATTGAAGACGCGTACATGCCACAGTGAGCTTTTTATATTCTTGAGCATTGTGTGGAAATTTAATCAGACACCCGTCTGAGGGCCGCTGTAGTCTTACCCACTCTAAGCCTTATGGCCAGCTGCGTTCTTAATGAGTTGGCACAGCCCAACCTGCCACCAGTACGAGGGAAACCTGGACCTTCTGTCAGTGAGGTTGCATAATGTGTCTGCTTCTTGGTGGGTGTCCACTCTCCTTCTCTAGGTGTGCATGTGTGCAAGTTTCTGGGAGTCTATACACTTGAGAGAGCACGCTTGTGTGTCCGTGCTTGTTTGAACACGTCTGTATGTTTGAATATACAAGTGTGTGTGTAACTCCGGCCCCGTTTATTAGCTGTTTTTTTGTGTGTGTGTGTGTGCATTTTGATCAGCTACTGTGTGTTGTATATTTACTCAGCACACCTGTGAGATGGCCTTCTGAATGGTAATGAGAGGGACTTTATACATGAGAGTCCTATGCAGATTAGCCAGTGATAACAAGATGCATAATTAATCATATGCATATTTAGAAGGCTGGAAGTAATGATTTCCCGTTGGGGTTGGGAGGAAGGACCCGAATGTGAAACTAAAATGAGAAAAATCTGTGTTTTTCTCATATATTTGACTGCTGTATGAATGAGTGTTCATATATAACAACAGTGCAGCTTGTAATACTATAAAATCATTGATTTGTGCTTTTGTTTTTACTGTTCAAATTTGTATCAGTGCAGAGTTTTCAGTGTAACCTGCTCAGGGGCCCACATCAGCTCAATGCCACTCTCTGGTGACACCAAGACTCTTTAGAAGTCCATTGAAATGATCCCCCACGCTTGGGTTCAAAGCCTCACTGTGATGAAAAATATATGATTTTTCTATAAAGAAAGAGGTTTGGGCTGTCAGCCATTACAGCTTAGTCGCCCCAAAGGGGACTTTTTGCTTGCATCTAGAGCTCGTTTTAACTTCAGCTTTAAAGAATAAAATTCTGCAATGATTCATGTTGTTTTGATCCAGAGCGTAAATTTGGGATGAGTAGTGAGTTACTGAGTTATTTTTTATGTTTTTTTGTATTTTTTTCTGGTTGCTGTACTCCAAGGGAATATGCAGGATGAGCTGAAATACCCTTGGCTTGAGTTAATTATATCATGTGTTCTTTTTTTATATTAGTTGATCAATAATTGATATTGCTGTGAAATTAGATCAGACACAGTACATGTATGCTCACAGAGCTGAGCTTGCACAGGCAGTAAGAGGATACAACTTTTTATCTTGTCGAATATTTATCGATTTAGTCTTGAGTATCTATCATTTATATTTTTTTTTGCAATTGTGAAATGCATGATTTTGGAATGAAACGGCAAATCGTTACAATAGCTTACTTATTTACAGTGTTAAATTTCATCTTTTAATGTGAAAACAAAGAAATCTTAAACCTCTATTTTGATATTTCAGATCTCATAATCACACAGAGCACAGTTAGGGCGAGTTGTCATTTAGGGCCATTAGTTGACTAGTCACCTGCATGTTTACGATATTAATTTAATTATTGAATTATATATTTTGGGCGGGGCAACACAATGGTTTGAGTTGAAGGTGTGAGAAAGAATAGTATCAGTAACATTGTTTACACTGTGCTACATTACAGAGAAATACAAAACCGTACTAATGAACCTTCATTAATATAGGTCTATATTTTATCTACAAGTGCACGTCACACACTGAGCGAGCCGCCTGTTAATGACGCTGTGGGCTAATGGGCATGTAGCTACTTCCATGTTTCAGATGATACGTCATGTTTGTAGTCGACCAGTGAAGACGAGTTTACATATCACCTTGGGTTCGTCCTTCACCTTCTCAAAATGATCCCACACTTTGGATTTCCTGCCTGACATGTTATTAACTAGCCTGTGGAATAACTGCAGGTACCAGCCCTGGAAATTAACCTGACTCCTGTCTGACTGCTGAGCTTGGCCACTTCCTGTGTCTGTCCTTTCAAATTAAATTCCCACATGGTCCAGTCATATAGGTTTTGGTTTATTTCGACACTTACTGTCATATTCAAAGTTATCTGTTTGAAAAGTCAAATTAATGTCCATCACATTGACATATCCACACATCCCCTGGTATTTATGATGTCATACTGCAGCTAGTTTTAATGAGATTGACCTCGTTGTTACTCATTTAAACATGGCAATTGCAAACTACACCATCTCCCTATCTGTTGGAACTATACCAATCATAGACAATGGGGAAAATATCACACCACCACAACAACAAAAAATATCCATTAATCTCCCTTGTGTTGGAGTAGTGGCAGAAGTTTAGCAGTGGATATCTCATAACCTCGAGAAAATACACGGTTAAATACCAGTTGGGAAAAATATGCTTTTTGTCATTTTGTTTAATTAATCCCTGTAGACGAGGGTCTGGCAGAGACAACAGAGAGGCAGCTACACTGGAACATTGGAGCTCATGAGTTGATGCCCCGTGGCACCAGGAGAAAGGAGATACTGCTGGCAGAAAACATCAACTCCTGAAGGTCATGGCAAAAGCAATCTGCTCAGAACCTACTGCAGGCAATGTGCAGATAACGATAGATTAGTTGAGGCCTAAAGATTTGACATACATTTGAATGAAAAGTAAGTAACAGGGGATCGTTGGTGAATGTTGTGGGAGCTGGAAAACACACTTCAGTTTGCCTCTTTTTGTGTTAATACTGCATCTTGAAAACAAAAGCATGAGCAACAGGTACTGTAAGTGCTAATGTCCTAATGACTTAGTTAAAACATGATTCACAGATTTTTAATGCAGACGTGCTGTAGCTGCCTCTGAGCCACAATTGTGCTTCAAAATATATTTTGAACTCATGAAATCACCATTGTAAAGGTTAATATATAAAAGTGTTTTGATATTGATTTTTAGTCATATCACCCAGCAGAGCGGTAGAGCTTGAATGCACAGGCTTTGCATGGGAAATTTTCTGAGCTTTCAGCCCGTTGGGCAGTAAGGGAGGTAAAAAAAAAAAAAGAGGAGGAGGACCGCCAATCTGCAACATCATGAGGTGGTGGAGGAAGCCATGGATGGCCGTGGCTCAAGAGAGTCTTTGTTGAGACTGCTGTCTAATGAAAGGACTGCACTGCGGTAATGATACTAAAGGAAGGGAGCACACTACTAAATAATGAAGTGACTGCAGTGTTGTAAAGGTAACAATGTAGGAGGGGGGGATGTACGAGTTTATAATGAAGTGGCTGCTATGTGCTAATAGCCATGCAGGATGGCAGTGTATGTTGTGCATAGTGTCTTGAATGTAATGTGGTGATGAGAGTGCTGGCTGGAGAGACGGATGGACTTCTGAGTTTGCATATATCTGGCACTGCTCTCCCTCACACACACTAAGCTGTAGTTATTCACACTGTCTCTCATTCCCTACTGTCATTTCGCCTTTTTTTCTTCCCCTTTACCTTCCAATTTGCTTTCATTGTCATCCTGTTTCTCCCTGACACTGCCGCTATCTTCCCTCTTGTTATTAGATACTGTGTGTCACAGCTGAGCTACTTATCACCTTCTGTATGTTATACTAATTTTCAATCATCAGCACTAAAGTACCCCTAGGATACTGTCAGTAAATACTGCCATTGTGCTTGTGCACATATATTGCTTGTCGTGCAATTGTGTCTATGTGTTCATACGCGACTGAGGTTTTATTCATGCATGTGTGTGCATTTCAAGATGGGATGTGTGGGATTTGGACAGTAGCTCTGGGCGATATTCCTTAATGATATCATTTCCCATCAATGATTTTTTTAAATCCATGTTAATATGTCACATGGGCACACACACCATTATACACCGAGCCTTCCAGTTATATGATAAGTAGACAGGGCTGAATATCTGTGTGTGTGTCATCAGTATGTTAATGGAGAACAGAAACACACACGTGAGAAACACAAGCTAGAAAAAGTGCAGCCTTTTTCCCCTGTATGGTAATGATTTTTGATTTTTTTTGGCTGGTGCGCTCAATTT